AGCGGCAGCGGGAGGTGACGGGGAAATGCCGTCAGGAGCGTATAAGCGACAACAGAAACGGTGGAGACGGATAGAGAGACGACATGTGGGGGAAGGGGAGTCGTGGATGGAGTTGGCTGAAGGGTTGGTGAGCGGGCGTAGGTGGATCGGCCGATGAAGTTGACGACTCGAGGTTGACCAAGGGTTGAAGCAAAACGATGACGATGTATTGGGGAGGGTATTGGCGGGTACGGCCTGGTATTAGGCTGGGTATGCTGGTGACAAGACAAGGACTGGGCACAGCGCGTTGGCACCGGCAGCGCACAGGAATGCGACGTATGCGCGGGTATGAGGTGCGTACGGTAAGCGTAAGGTACGGTTACGGTACGGCCGGGCAGATTTTAGCAGGTCAGCTGAGCTTGCGGCTCTTCTGGGTCCGCGCGGAAGCTGAGTCAGCAGCAGTTTGCTACGTCGAAACTGCCCCTAACAGCGCAGCGTTGGGAATTGGTGAGGGCAAAGGGCAAGAATGACAAAGAGGGGAGTGTGTAAATAAGATGATAGAGATTGGAAAAAGAGGGATAAGCGTGTTATGTTTAGACGGAGGGACGGATGGATGGATGGATGGATGTAAAAGCGTGATCCGTATGATGTGGCTCTCATATGTATGGCCCGATCAGCCTGGGACTTATTATTCTGGAGTCGGTCTCCCTTGTTTTTTTTTCTTTCGACTCCGGTTGGTCGTCGTCGTCCTCTTCGTCCTTTTATTGGAGCTTGCTTTGATATTTTATCCACCAGTTCTCCATCCGATCTATTTCTTCCCTCTTTTTCCCTTTCGTTCCTGATAGTTGGATTTTAGCCTCCACCCTTATTATCTCTTGATAATGACTTGGTGTTTTTCTTCGTCAGCTGAAGCAATGACTATAAGCGTCCCTCCTCTGCAAAATAACCAACAACAAATTGCAAAGGCGATGAATAGGGCTGTGTCTCGGAACCGGCAGAACAATCCTAATTGAGTGGTACGGCGGACAGGATCCTCGGAAGAAACGGCGCAATCAAGTCTCCAGCGTAGTGGTTTGTGGGCTAGGAAGCGGTGAGAGGCATATACGGGAGGCGTGAGAGAGGATCGGAGTCTGTCAGGGAAGACAATTTTAAAAATTATTAAAATAAAATAAAAATAAAAATTATAAATAAAAATTATAAATAAATAAATAAATAAGTAAATAAATAAATAAATAAGTAAATAAATAAATAAATAAATAAATAAATAAATAAATAAATATATATAAATTAAAGTAAGTCTTTAAAAAAAAAAGGCTGCGGCTGGGATCAGACAGCAAGCAGACGCGGCTATTGGGAGTG